GAATTATATAAGCCGATGAGGTTAACAATACCACTCGAAGCCAAAATTTAAAAACACATCAAGGATTACACAATATAAAAGTAAAAACAAAAGAAATAAATGATCCATGAGATCTTCTGGAACACACAATCGACCAGTAAGCAAGTGAAGCAAGACGATAATCAAAACTAGAATAAACAAAAAGACGTTGAAGATCAAATTATTTGAGGTTACATAAAAGCTTCCAAAAAAGTTCCATCAGGGAACCACGAGTAATCGATACTCAATAACAAGCTTCAACCGATGGAAGCACGAGATAACGGAACTCCATAGACCAAACGCGATTGAACTAAAACTTCACAATCTCTTACCAAAAGATCCTAAGAAACCTGTCGGTTTATAACCAAGAGACAGAAACCACTTCGCTTCATCGTAACTTCACACTGACCATTTGACATCGAAAGCACATGTCTAACGCGAAACATTATCGAAATACATAGTGACATACATTCGCACGAATATGTGTACTAGTGGGATATATCATAAATATTTCAATCTTACTTCTGGTTCTATGTGTGGTCTATGTATTGGATCTGAACAGAACACAAACCGCATTCAGAGAGGATAACGGTTGCAAAATGTTCAAGACTGGACACGGATGAAAAAAATGAAACAAAATGTACAATAATTATTTTTCTTATTCAAGTTAATGGGTAATGATTTGTGTACAAGAATCATTATAATTTTTCTGTAATGACATACTTTAAAATATAAAAATCTAAAAGGAAAATTTATGTAAACTAATAATACGATAAATTAATAAATATTTTTAACAAATAAATTAACCACAATCTTAATCTGACCACCAACCACTTTAGCCTCTTCTACTACCAGTGTCGTTGAAATTGAAGAGACTATACACCTAATCAAAATTTCTTTTGAAGTCGAACAAACAACTACGACAATAGCCATAACCAATATATAGCTCCACTCTTCTGTCGTTAATTTCTACAATTGCGATCACTTTTATTTTTCTTTGATCAACTTTCTCAACTGATATACAACTAAAATTTTATTCATGCAATGAATTTTTTGGTATTTTAATTAAATTCATTTTGAAAGTAAAAGCATGCTTGAACTTGTATTTTAATAGAAAAGAGAACAAACGATACGTCTATAAGTGGCCTTTGAGTTTAATTTTTTTGTTTGCCCTTATAATATCTTTGTTTAAGTTGTGAAAGTATCATCAGATTTCAAAAAGAAAAAGAAAAAAATTATTAGGCCGATTTTCTATAGATGGGTCCTGTAAAATCTATTTTTAAAAGGTCGTATGGCTATGTCTAGGTCTATATATAAAGCCTCCTTACTCTCAAAACTTAAACACATGTAAAATCATTTTCTATATTTCACAATTTTCTCTCACATACTCTCTCTTTCAAGGCTGATCTTTCTAAGTATAAAATTTAAACTGAGGGGGTCTTACAAAAGGACAAACCAATAAAACATTTTATTTTATTTTCGCCCACAAAAAAAAAAGGGGTTTTTGCCAAAACTAACCTACAACTTGGTTTTGACCCCAATACTAGACCCAAACTTCAATCAAATGCAAATCTAACCTAAAAGTGGTATGAAATTACAATATAGTCCTTTGTGACCAAACAAAAAAACAGAAGATATTTTTACGAATTTAGCCCCTGTAAGTTGTCTGAGTCAGATTGAGCTAGTTTTCAGTCG